AGTAATATATAATTGATTTCATATAATAATAGTTAATATTTAATGATTCAATAATTATTTATATGAATAAATTCTTAATCTTGAAATTTCAAAAATGGATAATGCCCCCATGCAGGATCGAACTACAGACCTTCAGTTTACAAGACTGACGCTCTACCACTGAGCTATAGGGACTTAATTAATATATAATTCTCTCTATGTTCCTAAATTAATTCTTTAGTTGGCAAATAAATCGATGTACATTACAAGAATATGCTCCAATGCCTTGGATATATGCAGATTTTATATTTGAAGAATTTTGTGCAGTGCTTCAGCACCAGCTCTACCCCCTGTACAAAAGAGGAATATAAAATATATATATATATATATATACATATCATAATTGATAGATTATAGTGTGGAGCTGGAGGACAACAAACGAGAGACTGAAAAGAGCCTGCGCGGGCAAACGTGGTTTTAAAAAAATTAGGAAACGTGAACAGCAGGATTCGAACCTGCACGGGCAGAGCCCACATGATTTCTAGTCATGCCCGATAACCACTCCGGCATGTCCACAATTTGCTCTAAGTTTTGATAACCAATCCAACATGTCCACAATTTGCTCTAAGTTTTGACAACTACTTTATTACTTGAGTTGTCTCCAAGAAATTATAAGAGAACTTCACTGAAAAATTGATCCTTCGGTTCTTGTAAGCGTATCATGGCATTCTGTATTCTTTACGGGGATTGTAAAGAAAATGTATTACGTAATTGCTTTGTTCCTCTTATACTGGTTTGAGGTGGTATTAGGTTTGAAAGTTAGCTTAGTCAAGAGTGAGATGCTTCCCATTGGCCAAGTGTTTAATACAGAGGAGTTAGTTTTGGAACTGGGGTGCAAGGATTGCTGACCCTTAGAAGGTGGTGTCTTGTGTTTGGGTAATTTAGGAATAAATAGTGAGGGTGTTTTCTCGGAAATACAATTTCTAAAACCAATGTCTTTTATGGGAAAGTGGAGGAGAGAATATAGAGGAATTGGAGTGGGACTCTAGTGAAGGAGGAAAAATGGATGTTGACTTGGCATAATGGGTGTGGTGAGAAGTGTAAAGGAGAGAGAGTTAAGGAAAAAGCAGGAAGGGGGTTTAGAGAAAAGAGAGCATGCTGACATGGACCACTTTGCTTTATATATATACTACTAGGACCCCGTGTAATGTATGGGAAAATCAGATAATTTGGAAGATATCAGGGATTTTTCTTTTTTCTTTTTATTTTGGCAAAGGTTAAAATATAGGGAAGGCTTAAAATTGTTTCTCCATAATGCCTCCCAACCCTAGTGCAAGCTGGATTTGATGCTAAGTCTCTGCTACAATGAACATCAGACCTTAACAACCAGCCGATCAAACACTTTGGCACAGGATATTAATACTAATTTAATAAAAATATCTATTTATAATTTATTGTTGTTTGCACAACAGAAAATAACAAATAGAAAGAAAATTTTGAAAATACTGATATAAATAAATTATTTTTCAAAATTTATGAATCAATTTCAAAATTGGTATGAATAAAAATTTCAAAATTTATTGATATGAAAAAATTAAATTTCATAAAAATTTGAATTTATGAATAATTAATCACTAAAAATATAAAAGTTTCAGTAATTTAGATTTTTTAAATTAACTTTCACTAAATTAAATTACCAAAAAACATGAAAATTAGTTTATGGAAATCCCTAAATTAAAAATTCCCAATAATTTTCAAAAATATTAAATTTTCTCAATAGTTATGGAAATTATAAATGTACTTAAAATTTCCCAACAATTTTCCAATTTAATATTTAACAGTTTCCAAAAATCAATGTAAATAAAAATATTGATAAACTATTTTTATTACCAAAATTATATTTCAAAATCAATAATTTTCTGAAATTAACTGGAAATTGATGAAAATTAACTTTTTGAAAATTTGAAAATAAATAATTATCTTTAAATTACTGAAAATTTTATTTAATAATGATCAATTTCAGATAATAATAATATATAATTAATTTTATATAATAATAAATTAATATTTAAGTGTTAAAATTTGATTATGTAGTAATTATTGATACGAATAAATTAATTTTCAGAAATTTGGGTATTTTATGAATAATTAATTACTAAGATATCAAAATAAATTGAGTTTTTCATTATTTTAATTATATTATACGTTTAATGTTTGGGAAGTTTCCAACTTTGTTACAATGATGAAATGGGAGGCAGGGTGACATGGTCAGAGGCTAAGAGCTGAATGATGTGATAAAAATGAGGGTAGGGTGAAGGTAAACCTGTATTAAACTCAGCTTGTTGTGTTTATGTTCATTATTTTAAATTAAATTTAAATAGAACTTAAATTAATAATTTTTACTTTTATTAAATTGTGATTTATTTAGTAAATTGTTATTGAAGTGTTATTTAGGTTATGGTATCATGCTAAGTTTATTACTATATATTTTTTTTATTTTGTTAGAATTTGTTATTATAAATTAAGTATAATATTACTGTAATCAGTTTTAACAATTATTTTTGTTAAAATTGAAAAATAGTGATTTATTTTGAATTTTATATTATGTAATCATTTTTAAATTAAAATTATTATAGTATAATATAAAGTTATTATAATTAATTATTTAATTTTATTTCTTTTATTATTTATCATATTGTATTATTTATTTTGTTCTTATTAGTCTTTTGGATATTTTTTACTCATGTTATTAGCAATTTAGATAGAGATTGAGAGATAGGGTGTTGGGAAAGCCAACAACTTGTAAGTAGTTAACATTTCAATTTTCAACATAGGTTGGGACTTGGGTGGGGAGGGCGGATAAATTCTTCAAATTCCAAAAATRGAAAATGCCYCCATGCAGGATCGAACTACAGACCTTCAGTTTACAAGACTGACGCTCTACCACTGAGCTATAGGGGCTTAATTATTATTTTTATTAAATTGTGATTTATTTAATAAATTGTTATTGATGTGTTATTTAGGTTATGGTATCATGCTAAGTTTATTACTATATAAATTTTATTTTATTTTGTTAGAATTTGTTATTATAAATTAAGTATAATATTACTGTAATCAATTTTAACAATTATTTTTGTTAAAATTGAAAAATAGAGATTTATTTTGAATTTTATATTTTGCAATCATTTTTAAATTAAAATTATTATAGTAAAATATAAAATTATTATAGTTAATTATTTAATTTTAATTCTTTTATTATTTATCATATTGTATTATTTATTTTGTTCTTATTAGTCTTTTAGATATTTTTTACTCATGTTATAAGCATTTTAGATAGAGTTGAGAGATAGGGTGTTTGGAAAGCCAACAACTTGTAAGTAGTTAACATTTCAATTTTCAACATAGGTTGGGATTTGGGTGGGGAGGGCAAATAAATTCTTCAAATTCCAAAAATAGAAAATGCCCCCATGTAGGATCGAACTACAGACCTTCAGTTTACAAGACTGACGCTCTACCACTGAGCTATAGGGGCTTAGTTATTATTTTTATTAAATTGTGATTTATTTTAGTAAATTGTTATTGATGTGTTATTTAGGTTATGGTATCATGCTAAGTTTATTACTATTTAAATTTTATTTTATTTTGTTAGAATTTGTTATTATAAATTAAGTATAATATTCCTGTAATCAATTTTAACAAATTGAAAAATAGTGATTTATTTTGAATTTTATATTATGTAATCATTTTTAAATTAAAATTATTATAATATATTATAAAGTTATTATAATTAATTATTTAATTTTAATTCTTTTATTATTTATCATATTGTATAATTTATTTTGTTTTTATTAGTCTTTTAGATATTTTTTACTCATGTTATTAGCATTTTAGATAGAGATGGAGAGATAGGGTGTTAGAAAAGCCAACAACTCGTAAGTAGTTAACATTTCAATTTTCAACATAGRTTGGGACTTGGGTGGGGAGGGCGGATAAATTCTTCAAATTCCAAAAATRGAAAATGCCYCCATGCAGGATCGAACTACAGACCTTCAGTTTACAAGACTGACGCTCTACCACAGAGCTATAGAGGCTTAATTATTATTTTTATTAAATTGTGGTTTATTTAGTAAATTGTTATTGATGTGTTATTTAGGTTATGGTATCATGCTAAGTTTATTACTATATAATTTTTTTTATTTTGTTAGAATTTGTTATTATAAATTAAGTATAATATTACTGTAATCAATTTTAACAATTATTTTTGTTAAAATTGAAAAAAAAATAGTGATTTATTTAGAATTTATATTATGTAATCATTTTAAATTAATATTATTATAGTATAATATAAAGTTATTATAGATAATTATTTAATTTTATTTCTTTTATTATTTATCATATTGTATGATTTATTTTGTTCTTATTAGTCTTTTAGATATTTTTTACTCATGTTATTAGCATTTTAGAAACAGACGGAACCAACTCCCTATCTCTCCATATTGACGCTCTAGCACTGAGCTATAGGTGCTTAATTATTGATTTTATTAAATTGTGATTTATTTAGTAAATTGTTATTGATGTGTTATTTAGGCTATGGTATCATGCTAAGTTTATTAGTATATAAATTTTTTTATTTTGTTAGAATTTGTTACTATAAATTAAGTATAATATTACTGTAATCAATTTTAACAATTATTTTTGTTAAAATTGAAAAATAGTGATTTATTTTGGAATTTTATATTTTGCAATCATTTTTAAATTAAAATTATTATAGTATAATATAAACTTATTATAGTTAATTATTTAATTTTATTTCTTTTATTATTTATCATATTGTAATTTATTTTGTTCTTATTAGTCTTTTAGATATTTTTTACTCATGTTATTAGATTTTAGATAGAGATGGAGAGATAGGGTGTTTGGAAAGCCAACAACTTGTAAGTAGTTAACATTTTAATTTTCAACATAGGTTGGGACTTGGGTGGGGAGGGCGGATAAATTCTTCAAATCCCAAAAATGGAAAATGCCCCCATGCAGAGGATCAAACTACAGACCTTCAGTTTACAAGACTGACGCTTTTCCACTAAGCTATAGGGGCTTAATTATTATCTTTTTAAATTGTGATTTATTTAGTAAATTGTTATTGATGTGTTATTTAGGTTATGGTATCATGTTAAGTTTATCACTATATAATTTTTTTTTATTTTGTTAGAATTTGTTATTATAAATTAAGTATAATATTACTGTAATCAATTTTAACAAATATTTTTGTTAAAATTCAAAAATAGTGATTTATTTTGAATTTTATATTATGTAATCCTTTTTAAATTAAAATTATTATAATATATTATAAAGTTATTATAATTAATTATTTAATTTTATTTCTTTTATTATTTATCATATTGTATAATTTATTTTGTCTTATTAGTCTTTTAGATATTTTTTACTCATGTTATTAGCATTTTCAACATTTCAATTTTCAACATAGATTGGGACTTGGGTGGGGAGGGCGGATAAATTCTTCAAATTCAAAAAATGGAAAATGCCCCCATGCAGGATCGAACTACAGACCTTCAGTTTACAAGACTGATGCTCTACCACTGAGCTATAGGGGCTTAATTATTGATTTTATTAAATTGTGATTTATTTAGTAAATTGTTATTGATGTGTTATTTAGGTTATGGTAGCCTGCTAAGTTTATTACTATATAAATTTTTTTATTTTGTTAGAATTTGTTATTATAAATTAAGTGTAATATTACTGTAATCAATTTTATCAATTAATTTTGTTAAAATTGAAAAATAGTGATTTATTTTGAATTTTATATTTTGTAATCATTTTTAAATTAAAATTATTATAGTATATTATAAAGTTATTATTGTTAATTACTTAATTTTATTCTTTTATTATTTATCATATTGTATTATTTATTTTGTTCTTATTAGTCTTTTAGATATTTTTTACTCATGTTATTAGCATTTTAGATAGAGATGGAGAGATAGGGTGTGTAGAAAGCCAACAACTTGTAAATAGTTACATTTCAATTTTCAACATAGATTGGGACTTGGGTGGGGAGGGCGGATAAATTCTTCAAATTCTGAAAATGGAAAGTGCCCCCATGCAGGATCGAACTACAGACCTTTAGTTTACAAGACTAACGCTCTACCACTGAGCTATAGGGGCTTAATTACTATTTTTGTTTAATTGTGATTTATTTAGTAAATTGTTATTGATGTGTTATTTAGGTTATGGTATCATGCTAAATTTATTACTATATAATTTTTTTTTTATTTTGTTAGAATTTGTTATTATAAATTAAGTATAATATTACTGTAATCAATTTTAACAATTATTTTTGTTAAAATTGAAAAACAGTGATTTATTTTGAATTTTATATTTTGTAATCATTTTTAAATTAAAATTGTTATAGTATAATATAAAGTTATTATAATTAATTATTTAATTTTATTTCTTTTATTATTTATCATATTGTATTCTTTTTTTTTTGCTCTTATTAGTCTATTAGATATTTTTTACTCATGTTATTAGCATTTTAGATAGAGATGGAGAGATAGGGTGTTGGGAAAGCCAACATATTGTAAGTAGTTAACATTTCAATTTTCAACATAGGTTGTGACTTGGGTGGGGAGGACGGAAAAATTCTTCAAATTCGAAAAATGGAAAATGCCCCTAGGCAGGATCGAATTACAGACCTTCAGTTAACAAGACTGACGCTCTACCACTAAGCTATAGGGGCTTAATTATTATTTCTATTAAATTGTGATTTACTTAGTAAATTGTTATTGATGTGTTATTTAGGTTATGGTATCATGCTAAGTTTATTACTATATAAGTTTTTTTATTTTGTTAGAACTTGTTATTATAAATTAAGTATAATATTACTGTAATCAATTTTAACCATTATTTTTGTAAAAATTGAAAAATAGTGATTTATTTTGAATTTTCAATTATGTAATCATTTTTAAATTAAAATTATTATAGTATAATATAAAGTTATTATAATTAATAATTTAATTTTATTTCTTTTATTATTTATCATATTGTATTATTTATTTTGTTCTTATTTGTCTTTTAGATATGTTTTACTCCTGTTATTAGCATTTCAATTTTCAACATAGGTTTGGACTTGGGTGGGGAGGACGGATAAATTCTTCAAATCCAAAAATGGAAAATGCCCCCAGGCAGGATCGAACTACAGACCTTCTGTTTACAAGACTGACGCTCTACCACTGAGCTATAGGGGCTTAATTATTATTTTTATTAAATTGTGATTTATTTAGTAAATTGTTATTGCTGTTTTATTTAGGTTCTGGTATCATGCTAAGTTTATTACTATATAATTTTTTTATGTTGTTAGAATTTGTTATTATAAATTATGTATAATATTACTGTAATCAATTTAAACAATTATTTTTGTTAAAATTGAAAAATAGTGATTTATTTTGAATTTTATATTATGTAATCATTTTTAAATTAAAATTATTATAGTATAATGTAAAGTTATTACAGGTAATTATTTAATTTTATTTCTTTTATTATTTATCATATTGTATTATTTATTTTGTTCTTATTAGTCTTTTAGATATTTTTTACTCGTGTTATTAGCATTTTAGATAGAGATGGAGAGATAGGGTGTTGGGAAAGCCAACAACTTGTAAGTAGTTAACATTTCAATTTTCAACATAGATTGGGACTTGGGTGGGGAGGGCGGATAAATTCTTCAAATTCCAAAAATGGAAAATGCCCCCATGGAGGATCGAACTACAAACCTTCAGTTTACACGACTGACGCTCTTCCACTAAGCTATAAGTGCTTAATTATTATTTTATTTAAATTGTGATTTATTTAGTAAATTGTTATTGATGTGTTACTTAGGTTATGGTATCATGCTATGTTTATTACTGATGAAGGGAGATTTGACCCGACCCCTTGGCCATGCGACACGTGGAAGCAACCGAGAGTGACCTGGCAGAAGCGCCAGCTCGGCACGGTAGCAGGCCCACAACCCGAGCTCTGAGAAAAAGAGTCTCGAGCTCCCCCAAAGGGGGAACCTACAACCCGAGCTCCGAGCTGAAGAGTCCCAAGCTCCCCCAAAAAAGGAACCCACGACCCGAGCTCCCCAAGGAGAAACCCGAGCTCTCCCTTCGAGGTCGTGAGCCATAAAAGGAGCACAAAAGGCAAAAAACCCCGAACTGCCCACCCAAGGGCAATTCGGGCTATACTTCTATCCGAACTCAAGATTTCACCTCGCACACCACTTGGGCCCCAAGTCACCTGATTGAACAACCGTACCTGACACCCAGGAAGCCCGTACACGGAGGCTGCGCACCTGACTGATTAGGGGTCCGACACATGACAGCCGCCCTCCAACGGCCACCTACCACCGCCATCTCAGACGTGGTAGAGACGGCTCTGACAAGGAACAGTGGAGGTTATGACACCCGAGCTGGCAGAGGAAATGACACCCGATCCGGCAGAGGAAATGACACCCGATCTGGCGGAGGTAATGATACCCGAACTGGCAGAGGTATGGAAGTAAGTGTACAGGGTGATTATAAAAGGCCCCCATCTCTCAAAGAAGGAGGTATGTGATTCTTGCACTTTCTGGTCTTAAAGTTCCTCATTTCCCTTGCCTTCTCACGAGCACTAACTTGAGCTTCGGAGTGTTCCAACCGGGTTCCTCCCTAGAAGTCTCCATTTTCTTCCTTGTTTCAGGCACCTCCAATCTCGTCAGAGGCGAGGTAACCGGCAGATTGGACCGACCGGATTGCGCATCATCATTTGGTGCCGTCTATGGGAAACTTTCAAAAAGCCTTCCCTATCCTTTAACACTCTCTCTCAAAGAAACCTTAGCTTAATGGCTTCCTCCAGCAGCAACAGGCACAACGCCGACTTGAATGTTGTAGGGAAACACCCTCAGCCCGCCACTATATGCATCGGACAATTCACCGTCCCCCTCTCGACGGACGGAATCCCTAGCCTCAATGCACCAAGTATGGTGACACCTGTGAATGTTTCCCTTCCCCTCCCTATCGAGACAACTTTTGCCGAACCTACTGCTGCCCCTCTGGTGACTAGTCCAAATGCAACAATTCCAGCAACATCAGCTCCATTAGCAGCAAGTACTGTACCACATTTCTTAGTATCACTATCAACAGCAGTTCCCTCAACTGTCTCTGAACTAACCACAGCTCCCACCTCGGCACCCTGCTCCGAAGCTGGCCAAGCCCTCCCCTCAGGGCAGGTGCCTTCATCGAGGAGGAGCCTCCCAACTCCAGGACCCCTCCAAGAGCCAGGCCTCATCGCCGGGCAGGAGGGAAAGACTAATCACCCCCGCCTCACAACTCGCCGGTGGATCGGGAACCTCCTTGCCAGTCAAGTCAGCACCTCGGCACTCTAAGTTCGAGCTCCCGCTCACAGAGAACCAGTTCGGCGTCCTGGCAGCAGACATCCAACAGTCTGGGCCGATCAACCTCGGCAACACCGAGGCAAGTAGCGCCAACACCAGGCCCTCTAAGCAGCAGTGAAGACACCGACGAAGTCGCCGAACTACCACCCGTATCCTGCCCGAGCTCCGAGGTAAAGAAGAAACAAGCTCGGACGAGGTAAAAGTTGCCCCTATTCTTTCAGTCCCTTCCCCCCTGTCATCAGAACTCCTTGTAGTCCCCATGCCCAAGGATTTCAAACTCCCTCCTCTAGACAAGTATGATGGGTCTTTTGACCCCAATGACCATATCGATGCTTTTCAGTCCCAAATGCACCTGGCAAGGGCCAGTGGGTCTTGTATGTGTGCGGAAAACTCATCGTCGCACCTAGTACAGGAACCTGACCCCCGGGTCGATAAGAAGCTGGACCCAGTTCGTGCAGGTCTTCACCGCACACTTTGTTACCAGCAAGCGGTGCCTCCGCACCGAGGAGAACCTCCTCGGAATAGTCCAAAGGGAAGGAGAGTCCATCTGGGGCTATATCAAAAGGTTCAATGATGCATGCTTGCAGATACCACGCCTAGACCCTGCGGTACAGCTCGCGGCAGCCAAGAGGGGCGGGACACACAAGGAGTTTAGGTGGCACATGGTA